ATTCATAAGTATTAACCAGAATTACCCTTATTATCACACAAACACTGTTTAACCCTTGCAATAACAAGCCAAATCAAGTACGATCAAACAGCGACAGTAATCATCCCTAGTAGCAACTGTTTCTTAACACCTTGTGTCAACTCCTTCCAGGAACCACAATTATCGCGCGATCAAATTAGTCTCCGAGCACTTTCGGCTACTTGGGGTAATCAGCGGAGGTGCAATTCTTCATCACTCGAGACAGAAGCATCTCCATCTCGCTTCGTGTACTTACTCGTTGACTTGCACAAGTCTCTGAGGCAATAATTATTAGTTTAAATCATAAGTTCTGGATTATGTCAAAAGAACAAGTTGTCCCTATACGAGACTGGAGTCTTTTCCACATATCTAGACTTGCCTATTAGGAGGATAGAATTACTATATATCCATGGATTATTCTTTCAGTACAGCCTTGCAGCAAGGCTAACTTACCCGTGTCAGAGAGCGCGGTCGTCCTCGACACCGCCAATACATAATAAATAAAGTCAGATAAAGTGTTTATTGTGTACTTATTATAATATCTATTTACGCTATGTTCAATTAAACAGAAAACGTCAAGGTCAGAGAATTATAAGAGAATTATCTGCCGAAACGGTTTCTATTGGGCGTAAATAGCAAAATAGTTTTGAAAACTATTTAAATGGATCACTGAAAATTTGTGATGTCGCCATGTGTTCGCGTACAGACCACGAGTACTGGTCCGATCTGTGTAGCTATAGATTTACCTCATGACGTCTACACCTTTGCGGGTCGCTCGTAATACATGTTTTGTTGGGAATCGAACCACGTATGTGCCAGGCGAACGCACATTCCTTGAGGCCACGAGCGTAGTTTCACCGGTGGGTTAGTTCTAAAGCAAATACTTCAAAGTTGTTTCGGCCTGCGGAGACACAAGTCAACATTTGACGTCACGGTGTTTTATGTTTCTGCTCGTAGGGCAGTGTGTAAATAAAAGCGAGAGACACCATTTCAATAATAACAAATATCGCAACTGCAATAGTGCAATAAGTCAACTGCACTATTCCCACTATGAACATGAACATGTATTTATTTAATAAATCACTATCAGATAGTGAAGGCACCAGGGCCCACTTGCACAAAGCGGTCTTAGCGCTAAGATGATCGTAGCTCCCATACTTTAACATAGGCTTACGACAATCATAGCACTAACATCGCTTTGTGGAACAGGCCCCAGGGCCCACTTGCACAAAGCGATCTTAGCGCTAAGATGATCGTAACTCTATACTTTAACATAGGCTTACAATTGTCGTAGCACAAAGATCGCTTTGTGCAAGTGGGCCTGGTGTTTATTAGCGAAATTCAACAATTATGCGCAGATGCCTTGTTCCCGACAACGAGAGTGTGAGTTTTTTATATATCCAAACTGACAGTGTCAAATATCGGGCGTCGGTTCCGATATATAAGCGACAAAACTAGTCCCATGATCATATAAACGAACACTGTCAATTAGGGATGACACTAGGTGTTCGCGAAAGGATGAGCGTATACTGTCCGTAAGGTGGCACCCATCACACACACATGCAAAGGCAAGTAAATTATTCAGAAATAATTCAGGGTAAAAACAAAACGGGAAGAGAACAAATATTGAGTGTAAAATAAAGGAAAAAACTGACAGTGGATATCTCCCTGATGTATGATATTGGTCAGCGATATTGATATAAATACACCAATTATGATCCCGAAACACACACAAACGTAATCGTAGCTGTGGTTACTGCAAGTATAATGTTCAGTTATAGCAACAATCATAATGATCCCATCTTACATCATGAGCAATGCTAACAATACATGGATCTTGGATGCTTTATATCATAACGACTGTCTGTTGATTAAGCCTGGCAGCACACGTCTGATGCTATCGGAGAATAATATTTATTTAACCAATACGAATATTCAGTAGACAGATCACAGACTGGGTCACAGCGGTCCTTTGTCTACTTATATAATAACAGTTGTAATCCAGACGGAAGAAATCAGTCCCATTTACAAACAAGGGCCAATAATTTGGCAAATTACATTTAAGGGATGTATACGTGCAGATTGCATAAATTCTACCCCATGCTTACAACCCCCTCTCCCTATATTTCTCTGTCCCGTCTCGGGTCGTATTGATTCAGCAGCGAGGAATTAGATTTCTCCTGTATGTCCGCTAGTGTCTACTGGTCCTGGAGACAGAATCTGTCACCCAGACAGATTCAGCTGGATGGTTGAACAGCTGATGCCTTATTCTGATTACAATTCTTATAAAAACTGTTCCATCGGACTTGTGAGAGGCTAGTTCGTTTCATCTATGATATATATGTCATTACTGAAATGGAGGAAAATATCCATATTTACTGCGATAGAGGTGAGTGGATTTGGTGAAGCGCCTTTGAACAATGTTCCAGTTATATCAAGCCTGTCAGCTTTATGTTTGCTGCAAATACCAAAGTGGAGCTGGTCGTACATGTTTACCATTTTGGAGACCAAGCATTATATTCGGGCCCTAATATGTGATTCGAACCTACGTCCAAGCCACTTACATGAGTATGGTACTGCCAAGGAATAATTTCGGGGCAGCTTCACCAACATACAGTCTCCTAGGATCATATGGGTTACCCTTTGGCGAAGCCTATTTTCCCCGTATATATTCTTGTAAAAGTTATTTCACTCCACCACACCTCCATCCCCAACCCCAACCCTAACCCTATATATATCACTGCTGAATGAATATCAATAAAGGTATATTTAGACATGTGTGTTTGTCTGTTGTTTAACGCCTTGGTCAGCAATATTTCAGTTATATGGCGGCGGTCTGTAAATAATCGAATCTTGACCGGACATTACAGTGACTGAGCCCATGAGCATCGATCTACTGAGTCGGGATACGTTGACGTGCATTGACAAAGTCCGCGAGCCTGACCACCCGATCCCGTTAGCCACCTCTAACGACAAGCATGGGTTGCTGAAGACCTATTCTAACCCGGATCTTCGCGGCGTCTGTGTATATATGTATTAAAAGATATACATGTTAAACTGCGGCATGGTATCTCAGTGGGATAGCGCTACAAAAGTAGCGTAAGACCGGACAAGCACCGGACAAGCAGCCACCAACGTACATGTACGTCACTGTATGAGTGAAATAATCTTGAACGCGACGTTTAATATCGTATATATCTTAATACAAAACTTGATAACCTAATACACCTACAAATGTATCCTATCAACTTGGCCCTGGTCGGGGTTCGGGGTTCGGGGTTCGGGGGTCGTGGTTTGTAATTTCCGGAATGAGTGTCGGCAATATTGAACACTATCTGAGTACATCTCAGTCACACTGTGTTAACGCGTTCAAGATTATTGTAGTTATGCTGCAGTGTGTGTGTGTGTGTGTGTGTGTGTGTGTGTGTGTGTGTGTGTGTGTGTGTGTGTGTGTGTGTGTGTGTGTCCTGGCAGACACTCTACCCACAAGAACACGGAGGCGGTCTGGTCTATAAAACCACTGATTCATGTAGACACACCGTAACAGTTTCACACCGGGATATACACAAATGTGAAGGGTTAACGCGCGACCACGCCCAACTGTTACGTTCCTGTTGTATATCCTATTTCAGAATCACAACAAGAGTGTCTCTGGAAACTGTTTCCTCAACATAACTGGTTCTGTTGTTGGTACGCGCAGTTATCCATGCGCTCTTAGCTGTATAGATATCTGACAGACAATGCCCTCTGTATCCGCAGCACGGAGAACGATAATGATTCTTAATGCCTGCGGTTGAAAAGGGAATCGACATGCTATAAGTAAGATCTACAAAATACATGTCATGCCTGCACGGTATCTGACGAACTGTCCTGTACAGCTTAGTATTCAGAGCTTTATCATAGCAACCACCAGTATAAAACATAATTGTACAAAAGGTCTGGGATTAGTCTGTCTTACAGACCCTGATACAAATATATATCAAATACAGCCCATGCAAGTCTATAATGTTTGGCAAGTCTAGATCACTGCAGTATCTGAAAATGGAGAGAGTCACTGGGCTCCTTTTTATTATATTTTTATTAAGATAACTGTTTTTTTTATGTAAGATGTGTTCATTTCAGAGACTAGATGTTAGTCTAGGTCTGGGATATGTGGTGGACAGTATGTACAAAGTGGAGAGATAAGATGAAACACAAACACATGAACATTAATTTATGAAATGATACGCGGTATACAATTTTACATAAACATAAAAATATCACTTAAAAAATGAAAAGATAGACAAGTAGAAAGAAAAGACCGAAATACGTATATCTATTGATAGACGAACACATGAAATACCATGTACTCAGACATATACATTGTATATATACGTGTAGATATAACCCTATATAAACATCCATATTTTGTCAAATCAAAGAAAAATCTTTCAATAGTTAGGATGCATGTCCATGCAAAACACATGTTTATCGATAAAATGTTTTCATCTATCAGTGTATGCAGACACCATAAAAACGAGGTCTCTGATGTTTGCATTCCTAACTGTGGTGGGGGTCATTGGATGGAGAGGTTAGGCGATTCATGTTAGCCATACAGAACTAATTAGCCTGAGGCCCACTCAACGCATACCAGGATACCAACACCGGCCATCTGGTATTTGCATGTTTATACTCTCGTGAGCATCTATCATATATTGACACACACCATACACCACTGAGCTAAATCATCTGTCATTAGGGTGTTCTAAATGTTCACAAATTCCAGTGGATACCAATCAAACAAACAAAACGTGTAGTTTACATGATCAACAAAAATAGAAAAGTTATAAAAAGTTACGTGAAACTTTCTCTCGACTTAAAAGGCCATTAGCGAGCTACAAGGGCAATGTGGCTTCCGCCGAGGTAAGTTTGACAGATGGGACATTGTAGACAAACGTATGTACATATACGAGTTGAGTGGTGCAAATAAGCTCGCAACATACCTTTGTAAAGAGACCTGGTCTTGTCAAAAGTTAGAGGTCGACGGCCAACACGGGACAGGATACTATCCACATCCACATTTGCAAACTTATCGTCTGCTTCACTTTCAACATCCGCCATTTTGAAATAGCGAGCCCCCCTCACCCCTCCTCACTCGCTCCTCGCGGTACCGCGGTTCGGATGGAACTGCTTTTGTCTGCTGTGGTTGTGTTCCAATACTCCAATAAACAGCATGTGTAACAAACGTGCATCGAAAGGTTCCTTACATCGTCTCGAAATAACCTCGCATCTCTGGTAATATCAAAGGATTATAGAAAAGAGCACGTATGCACGTTCTGTGTAGCAGACGACAAGTTCTGGGAGGGGTGGAGCAGACGTCCCTCTGGAGCAGACGATCGGCAGAGGTAACTAAGAACGCCTCGATTGATATCAGGTTCGAAGGGGGGAAAGCTGGACCTGATGCACGGCCGGCGGAGACTGTGGCACACGGCAGCGGGTCAAGCTGGGCGAAGATGAGATAACTTTCACCGGATTCGCTTTCTGCCGCTCTCTTCCTTCATGGCGGGGATAGGCGCGGATCAGACACAAGTGCATTACTTTGGGCGTGTGCCAGCATTGAAAGGAAGAGGCTCACCAAACGTGCAGCTTGGGTGATTTCCTTACAGTTAGTCGTTGCTTCATCTGCTGTGTTTACTGCTGTGCATCTGCTAGAAGCATCACTCGTGCTCTGCTTGATGGAATGAGACAGACTTATGGTTGTATGCCTCTTTCACGTCTTCTTTAAAGAAAAGGGCAACATGTATGTGCATTTATGTCAGAGTTGAATAAATATCTTCATTTGTCTTTTTATTGCCTGGATGTCAGACTGCTTTAAGGGGGTAATAGATAGTGCATATCGTCAGGATATGCATGTTTGATGGAGATTGAGGATACCTTTGACTATTGATTATTCAGTCGAAGGAACGGTTAATGGTTAACGGGAAAAAAATACGGAAATACTATCTGAATAGATCAAGAAGGATCAAGAAGGAGTCATACTCATTGTCTTTTTCTTGCTGGGATCCCAATTTAGAATATACCCCTTTATCCCAAGCCCGTCACACACTGGGTTTTCTGGGGCAGGATAGACCCCTTCTTTATCCCAAGCCCGTCACACACTGGGTTTTCTGGGGCAGGATAGACCCCTTCTTTATCCCAAGCCCGTCACACACTGGGTTTTCTGGGGCAGGATAGACCCCTTCTTTATCCCAAGCCCGTCACACACTGGGTTTTCTGGGGCAGGATAGACCCCTTCTTTATCCCAAGCCCGTCACACACTGGGTTTTCTGGGGGAAGGTTAGACCCCTTCTTTATCCCAAGCCCGTCACACACTGGGTTTTCTGGGGCAGGATAGACCCTTTCTTTATCCCAAGCCCGCCACACGGTGGGTTTTCCGGGACAGAAAAGTAACCTAGTACCTCATGAACATTATTACAATTCGTTATTTTGTTTCATCGAACCCCGATGGTGTGGGACGTTTATGCTGTCAACCACATGTTTGTCGGGGCCAAAGTAGATTATGATATATAGCCACCATTGATAGTTAAAACGTAGCCGACTACCATCTTTATGAATATATCCACCCCCTTTAGAGCAGCCTTGATTATCCAGTGTATTATTGTTAATATAATATACTCACCGACAAAAGAAACGCGAATATCATACATGTTGGTTAATATATGAATTATTCATATTCAAGAGATATTAGATTGGCCGATGCAGAAACGAACATTCTGTCATGTTGTGTGGGCCGGGGTAGAATCGGTCTTCAGCAACCCATGCTTGCCGTGAAAGGCGGATGTGCTGGTCGTAAGAGGTGACTAATAGGATCGCGTGTTCAGACTCACTGACTTGTTGGATGCATGTCATCGTATCCCAATTGCGTGGATCGATGCTCATGATGTCAATCACTGGATTGTCTGGTCCAGTCTCGATTATTTACAGACCGCTATTACATTGCTGGAATATTGCGGAGTTGAACAACACAGAGACAAACAGAGATGCACCATTTGTCTCTCGCAGGATTAGCATGTAAAGTTTGGAAATCACGTGCAGCACATCATGATAAGAATATAGACTCTGTGGTCGCACTCGGCTGATGGAAACATCTCTTCTTAATGTACATACTTTTCTGTTTGTTCCTATGGTTCGCGTTTATTTTGGCGGTGAGTATACTTGTACATAAAATACGCTGGATTAGTAAGTGAGTGAGTGTGGTTTTACGCCGCTTTTAGCAATATTCCAGCAATATCACGGCGGGGAACACCAGAAATTGGCTTCACACATTGTACCCATGTCGGGAATCAAACCCGGGTCTTCGGCGTGACGAGCGAACGCTTTAACCACTAGGCTACCCGACCGCCCCTTTAATGAAGTAGAAAGACAGAGTTAAGTACACACGTAATCAGCAACAGCAGATGTATAACACGAATGTCACATAACCTGGTTCAGACAACATCCCCTCCGTGGTCTAGTGAATAGAGCAGAAGGTCCGGTGTTCGATTCCCGGTCGCGTCATACCAAAAATCGTTAAACGATGGTACTTGTTTTTACCCTGACTGGCGCTCGCATGAAGGGACAAAAACAAGGACTTGTCGGCTCGGAGTATACTGTGTCTGATTGTTGTATTCATGTTAAACTGCGTCATGGTATCTCAGTTGGTTATGACGTAATGCAAGAGAATAACCTTGTCTTAATGTTTTAAGGATTCGGCCCAAACATAAAGTAGTTCACTCAGCTTATGATGGGTCGCTTCTCTGCTATGTGGAATCACTGCCGGGTTTCGATCGATGCCACAAGTGTTCTTGGAATCAGTTGTGAGACGGTGGTTATATTACAAGCAAACGGGCGACATCAGTCATCGGTATTTCATCCTTGTGTTACAGGGATTCCCACAGAAACGATGTTGACTTAGAGTAACCTCCCCTGTTTGCAGCAGACGACCGATCTATCGAGCAATGTGTCGCACGGATATCATCGCTTGTACAGCTTGCCATACTCTGCATTTATTCTGTTAACTTCAAGATGAGCGCAATTACTAAATAATTTCATATCGCGACCAATTGGCCCTAATGTCGCGTTGTGGCGCTCTTGTTTAATAATGAATATACATATAGGTTGCTTTTGTAAGGGCGACAAAGTTTCTTCTAGGATTCCATATGTAGGTGTTTGTACACACAACACTGTTAACTTGATTGTTTGTTTTTGATCAGACATGCATCAACCAAGTTAGGGAGCCTGACCACCCGATCCCGTTAGTCGCCTCTTACGACAAGCATGGGTTGCTGAAGACCAATTCTAACCGGACTTGTCACGGGTCTTTTTCATATGTGGAGTTATGTTAATCAATGGTTTCACGCCGATTTTCCAGCAACATCACGACAGTGATATTAGAAATTGGATTCGAACATTTCCGGTCTTCGGCGTGATGATCGAACACTTATAATAGATTACCCGACATGCACGTTTGGCATTTTTCATACAATAAGCTGTAATGTCGTGACATAAATGAAATATTGTTCAAAGTGGCGTGATGTATGGTGGCCCAGAGGGGACATCGCATTTTCGCCTTCAGTTACGGCCGCGATATAGCGATAACGGGAGACGGGAAAGCGATTCCCCGAGAAGCTGTACCACGTGACGAGAAAGCGATAACACGGCATACAGCATATATAGAATGACATAGAACTAACATAACTCGTAATAACCACTAGTGGCGCTACGATCGAGCCCAGAAATTCAAGTCAAGTTCGGCAAGGGTGGAAACTGGACTTTTATAGTCAGTTAACTCCCTTGCCTCGGGAAGACGGTTGTCGCTTTCTCGCCTCGCGCTATCTGTTTATCGCTTTCTCGTGGCGAAGTGAGGGCGAGGAAGCGGTATCCCCTCTCGGCCACCATAGTGATGATAATCAAGCACTAAATCTACACTAGGCCAGTATAATCGGTGTTAGTCCCTGATCCAACCAGCGATCGACTACATGTATCTGTTACGTCATCACGTTGTTTACCAGACACCCTATACATCGTATCTGTCATAACCAATGTCGGAGTGGGAGCGAGAGGGTGGAGTTCAGGTTGACGGTACAAAGATTTTCAGGAGCTGAGTTCATAGTGGTACATAAAAAATGGCATGAGACGTGGCGGTCGGTTTGGACGCAGACCACGGCACAAGGTGGCTATACACTATAATTTTAATATTGCAGCATTAGCATATGCGGATGATTTAGCGTTGCTAGCTGAGAATGAAGCTGATCTCAGTTTACTGTTAGATGATTTATATACATGGTGTTGCTCAAATAAGATAGAGATCAATAAGGAAAAGTCTAAAACTGTCCATTTTAGAAACCCGTCTGTCATCCAGACGAAGCATGTTTTTAATGTCGGAAATAGGATTTTAGACATTGCTGCTAAGTATAATTATCTTGGTCTACTGTTTACAGACCACTTAGATTTTACTGCAATGGAACGTTCAGCAACGAAATCTGCTTATACGGCGCCTGGTGATTTCCAAAGTTATATTAAGACAATAGCGGTATGCATTTCCAAACCTATTTCAAATTTTGTGATAGTGTGGTGTGGTCAGTTCTTGACTACGGGGTGGCTATCTGGGGTAATTATGACGTATCCTAACGCCCCTAACGTCGCTATAAATGGGGACATGGGATGGATACCGCCTGTTGTTAGACAGTGGAAAAGTGTAGCAAGACAATGGTGTCGCCTTAAGAATATGCCTAGTAGGTTAAACAAACGTGTTTAACTGGGATGATGGATACGCTGTTCATATTGGTAAAAAATGGAATGGTTGGGTAAGAAAGAAGTTAAGTAATATGGATTTAGGACACTTGTTTAATGCAACAGGTTTTATCGATAAGTTTTCTGTTTGTACACAGGTGGAACAATGGTGTATGAATATATTACCCGTTGGAGTGATATGTTAAGAAAGGAAGAGGGTCGAAATGTGCTTAATAAATTGAGACTGTATCGATGTTACAAACAAGTATATGGGACAGAATACTATGTTTCAAATAAGATGCCCAGAAACTATAGATCGGCACTAGCCAAGTTTAGGTGTTGCATTGGCTCCTATTCGAGTGGAAACCGATGGGTACGAAGGTGTACCTGTCCATAATAGAAAATGTTTTCACTGTTATGACAGCGTAGAAGACGAGGTCCATGTTTTGTTTCACTGCGTATTATACGACGATATGAGGGCAACTCTTTTAAATGAATGTATTGCTAAATCTTATAATTTTTTAGATATACCTTATATCGACAAACTTTGTTTAATTTTCAGTGAATTCAGTTCGTGTTTTATACTTGCCAAAGTCTGCTTTTTAATTCTTAATCGTAGAAAGCATCTTTTATATGGATAACGTTTTACTATATCATCTTTATAGCATTTATGTATAAATTTATGATAATTTCCATTGAATGGTTCTTTACATTCTTTGTCAAGTTGTACAAAGCTGTTTTATGTATGTACAGAGGTGAGACACAAATAAACTATTGTCTGTCTATAAGCCAATCAGGAAACAGCAGTTCACCTATATTTGTAGGCTTCTGGAAACGAACGAAACATAAACGCTCGGTTAGTCAACCAAATGCGAATGAGTCACCAATTTATTTAGAAGTAGATTGCTGACTATCTGGGTTA